TCATCAGCACTGGGGAGACAAAGGCGGCCGAGCTTGTTTATTAATTGGTGCTCGCTACCAGCGCGTACCCCCAACAGTCTGCTAAAAGCTAGACAGGAGATCTTTGTGTATCAGCATGTTTGTTTGAATCTTCGTATGAATATTGTATCTTTGTAGTTTCACAAAAACAGCCACAGACTTACAGAGACCCGCAGACTTACACACTGAGACCCACACACACACAGAGACCCACAGACTGACACACCCAGATCCACAGACAAACACACAGAGGCCCGCAGACTTGCATTCAGAGACCCACAGACTTACACACCCAGAGACCTACATACTCACACACACCCACCCAAAGACTCACCCAGAGACCCACAAACTCACACACATACCCATAGACTCGCATAGAGACCCACATACTCGAATAGAGACCCACATACTCATACACAGACCCATAGACTTGGATAGAGACCCACATACTCACGCACAGACCCATCGACTCGCATAGAGACCCACATACTCGCATAGAGACCCACATACTCATACACAGACCCATACACTCGCATAGTGAGCCACATACTCACACACATACCCATAGACTCACACTCACCCATAGACTCACCCAGAGACCCATAGACTCACATGTAGACCCACAAACACAGAGACCCACAGACTTTACACACAGCCCCATAGGCTCATCCAGAGACCCATAGACTCACAAGTTGACCCACATACACACAGACCCATAGACTCACCCAGATACCCCATAGACTAACCCAGATACCCATAGACTCACACGTAGACCCACATACACACAGACCCACAGACTCGCACGGAGACCCACACACACTCACAACAACAATTGCAGCAGCAACAAGCCAAGACTTCTCAGACAAACCCCGTGGATTGATGTGTCGGTACAGTGCTTGTGTTGCGAGCAGAGGGATAGTGGGGGGGGAGGTGGTGGAAGTCATTTCCTGCCTGGGCATCAATTAAAGTAATCAGAGGAGACTCCAAGGGGAAGGCAGTGCACCTATGTGTGAGCATGTGTGTATGAAGCAGTGTGTGTGTGTGAGCATGTGTGTGTGTGTGACCCGTGGCACCTGGGTCTGCCCCGTGACCTGCCAGCGGGCGTTCGACACTTCACGTGGCCTCAGGGTGCACATAGCCTGGCACAAGCGTCGTGGTGACGTCACCGCCACTTAGTGGTGAATGGCGGTTGTTGTTGTTGTGTGGCTGGGTAATGTAGCCCGCATGCCCAGCCACCGCATGCCGAAACAGCTTTTGTTCGGCCGGATCGAGGGGGCTAAACGGGCGCGGCACGGGCTAGAGAAGAGATGGAGTGATGTGGTACAGGAGGACGTGGAGCTGAGTGGACTAGCCGATGACTGGTACCAGCGGTGTCAAGGTCGGCCTCTGTGGAGGAGGCTCGTGAAGGACGCTACTGGGCAGTTGGAGGCAGTCGCCCTCCAACAACAACGGAGGGCGGAGGAGCGACGCTCACAACAACGAGCGGAGCGCCGGGTGGCTAAAGCACAGCAGGTTGGCACAGTAGGAGGCACAGGTGGTGCATCAGCCAGTCATCCCAGTCAGTCGACCCGTGGCACCTGGGTCTGCCTCGTGACCTCCTGCCAGCGGGCGTTCGACACTTCACGTGGCCTCAAGGTGCACATGGCCTGGCACAAGCGTCGTGGTGACGTCACCGCCACTTAGTGGCGAATGGCGGTTGTTGTTGTGTGTGAAGCAGTGTATCTGTGAGCATGTTTGTGTGAAGCAGTGTGTGTGTGAGCGTGTGTGTGTGTGAGCATGTGTTTGTGAAGCAGTGCCGTGCCGGCCTTTATAGGTGCTCGCAAACAGCACTTGCCTCTACAGTATGTTAAGGCTACACGGAGGATATTTATCTTTGTTGGGAGCGGTGGTGTAGCGGTTAGCGCGCTGCGCTATGGACTTGGTGACCCGAGTTCGATTCCCACTCACGGCGAACACCGCCAGTGACAATTATTTGAACCGGTCCTGGGCCTCCCCGAGGTCGACTCAGCCTCAAATGAGTACCTGGTGTCGTTGGACATCCACCCCCTTTGTGTTCCATAGGTGCTCGCTAACAGCACTTGCGCCAACAGTCTGTTAAGGCTATAGGGGGGGTCTTTGTCTCTGTCATGGTGGCTAGGAGATCTTAACTACCTCGCCTGGTATACAGGAGGTCATGGGTTCGATTCCGACCCTGACGCCTGCTGTATATTTGGAGTCTGCGTGTCTCTATTAGCATCATCACAGTGGCGATGAGATGTTGACTACCTCGCTTGGTATACAAGAGGTCGTGGGTTCGATCCTGACCCTGACGCCTGCTGCTGCTGTATATTTGGAGTCTGCGTGTCTCTCTCCCCGTGGTCGCGTGGATTTGTCTCCAGGTCGTCCGGTTCCCCCCCCCCCACATTCAGAATCGCCGTCCCCACACGTTTAGAGTGCTTGGCTGCTGCTAGACAATTCCACGTGGCGGTGATGATGATGAGCAACTTCGTTGAGCTAAAAAATAGTTTAGTATTGTGTGTGTGAGCCATGCGGGAGACAAAGGCGGCCGGGCGTAGTTGCTGCCACAGTGCCGGTAGCCTTCATAGGTGCTGCTCGCTAACAGCACTTGCCCCAAAAGTGTGTTGAAGGCTAGACGGGGAGTCTTTGTCTTTGTGACTGTATGGCAATAGCGAGCTCGCCTCCTTTAATCTATCTTCCCCTAATTCTACTTAAGACTTAAGACTCTCGTCGTACAATTAGTTATTTTTGGGCAGGATGTTATCTCCCTCGCCTGCTATGCAGGAGGTTAATGGGTTCGATCCTGACCCTGACGATGCCTGCTGCTGTATATTTTGAGTTTGCGGTGTCTCTCTCTCATCATCATCACGGTGGCTAGGAGATGTTAACTCCATCGCCTGGTATGCAAGAGGTCATGGGTTCGATCCCGACCCTGACGATGCCTGCTGCCGTATATTTGGAGTTTGCGTGTCTCTCTCTCTCATCATCACAGTGGCTATGAGATGTTAACGCCATCGCCTGGTCTGCAGGAGGTCGTGGGTTCGATCCTGACCCTGACGATGCCTGCTGCTGCTGTATATTTTGGGTTTGCGGTGTCTCTCTCTCTCATCATCATCACAATGGCTATGATATGTTAACTCCATCGCCTGGTATGCAGGAGGTCGTGGGTTCGATCCTGACCCTGACGATCCCTGCTGCTGTATATTTGGAGTTTGCGTGTCTCTCTCTCATCATCACAGTGGCTATGAGATGTTAACTCCATCGCCTGGTCTGCAGGAGGTCGTGGGTTCGATCCTGACCCTGACGATGCCTGCTGCTGCTGTATATTTGGAGTTTGCGTGTCTCTCTCTCATCATCATCACAGTGGCTATGAGATGTTAACTCCATCGCCTGGTATGCAGGAGGTCGTGGGTTCGATCCCGACGCTGACGATGCCTGCTGCTGCTGTGTATCTGGAGTTTGCGGTGTCTCTGTCTCTCCGTGGTCGCGTGGATTTTTCTCCTGGTCTTCCCTTTTTTCTCTCCACGTTTAGAATCAACGTCGCCACGCGTTTAGAGTATTTGGCCGCTGCTATAATTGTCCACGTGATAAGCCACCGTCGTTGAGCTGCTCTCATTTGTGATGGCCAAATCGCTTCTGAAAAATAGCTACATAGCAGCTCAGTGGGGCCTTACCTGGTCAAATAAACAATAGTTTAGTTTACATTTCAACACGAGTGGTCACCACATTTGATGCTGGTTTTGTGACACGCAGAGTCTAGAATGTCTCCAGCAATGAACTCAACGCGTTTGGCTCTTTAACTGGAGACATGAAGACAGCGGCTGTCACGGTAGTGGTGGTGGTGCATGTGGTGGTGGTGGTGGTGGTGATAGTCCAGGTGGTGGTGGGAATGCAGGTGGTGGTCACAGTGCAAAGTGGTAGTAGTCCAGGTGGTGGTGGTGGTAGTCCAGGTGGTCGTGGTAGTCCAGGTGATGGTGGAAGTGCAGGTGGTGGTGGTGCAGGTGGTGGTGCACATGGTGGTGGTGCAGGTGGTGGTAGTAGTACTGCAGGTGGTGCTACAGGTGGTGCAGTTTGTGGTGGTGGTAGTAGTGCCGGTGGTGGTGCAGGTGGTGGTAGTAGTGTAGTTAGTGGTGGTAGTAGTAGTGCAGGTGGTGGTGGTAGTGCAGGTAGTAGTGGAGGTGGTGGTGGTAGTAGTGCCGGTGGTGGTGGTAGTAGTGCCGGTGGTGGTGGTAGTAGTGCAGGTGGTGGTGGTGCAGGTGGTGGTGGTCGTGCAGGTGGTGGTACAGGTGGTGGTAGTAGTGCAGGTGGTGGTGGTGGCGAGCGATAACTTGACTACCTTCCTCCCAGTAGTGCAGGTAGTGGTGGTGGTAGTAGTGCAGGTGGTGGTGGTGCAGGTGGTAGTGATGCAGGTGGTGGTGGTAGTAGTGCAGGTGGTGGTGCAGGTGGTGGTGGTAGTAGTGCAGGTAGTGGTGGTGCAGATGATGGTAGTGGCGAGTGATAGCTTGACTACCTTCCCCCCCACCCCCTGCCGCACCTCCGATTAGCACAGTTGGATACACACGGTGCACAAATTAAAGTTCAACTTATCTACGTACACACACATACGACACACACACTACACACACACTATACACTACACTACACACACTGCACGTACGACACACACACACCAGACACACACCACACACACACACGCTACGCTACGCACACTACACATACGACACACACTACACACACACTATACACACTACACACCCACACTACACTACACACACTGCACGTACGACACACACACACCAGACACACACTACACACACACGCTACACTACACACACACGCTACACTACACACACTACACACACACGCTACACTACACACACTACACACACACGCTACGCTACACACACTACACATACGACACACACACACACCAGACACACATTACACACACACACTAACATCGCTTTCCTCCCCCCTCCCGACAGCCTGCCGGGGCTACACGCGGGGGGAAAGGGTCCTGCGGTACAACAGTAGCGGTACAGCGGTGTAGCAGCAGCGATGATCCCCGTGGCCGAGTTCAAGCAGTTCACAGAGCAGCAGGCCGCCTTCCGCGTCCTCAAGCCCTGGTGGGACGTCTTCACCGACTACATCGCCATCGCCATGCTCATGATCGGCGTCTTCGGCTGCACGTTGCAGGTGGGCGGTCGGTGGGTGGGTGGTGGGTGGCGGCGGTTTCAGTTAAGTTTCAGTTCCATTTATTGGTATAGCCCTGTGAGCCATTCGGCTCTTGAATCGGGTGCAACCGCCAAAAACAAAAACATTAACAAGAAAAACATCTTAAAGTGACTACGTGACTGTGCAAACAGAATTACCAGGTGGCAGTAGTAGTGGGTGGTGGTGGTGGTAGTACCTGCTATATATTTAGAGTTTGCATCTCTTATCATAATCACAGTAGTGAGATGTTAACTACCTCGCCTCTTATACAGGAGGTCGTGGGTTCGATCCCGACCCTGACGCCTGCTGCTGCTGTTGCTGTATATTTGGAGTCTGCGTCTTTCTCTCTTCCCCATGGCCGTGTGGATTTTACTCCGGGTCCCCCCGTTTTTCCCTCCACATTTAGAATCGGTGTCAGGCCACAAGCACCGTGCGCGGTAAATGCGGTACTTTTGCAAGGAATCAGTGTTTGATTCCTTACAAAAGCTGTAATCTATTTGGCGTTTGAACATCTTAACACGCCTGCTGTTTTATTGGCAGAAAGGGTACGAAACCTATTCTTATTTTTCTTAACTTTGATACTAACAAAAAAAGTATCCCACGGTACAGCTGCTCACACCGCGAGCTACAGACGCTCTGTTACGTGGTGTGGCATTGTCCTTGTGCTGTCCCGTTGTTCTCTGGTCTACTGACACTGCCGGTGAGACTAGGCCATAGAGAAGGCTGCCGCCGTCTCTGGTGTAGGCCCAATCAGTTTCAAAGACAATGCAAGTAACATTACAATTGCATTATTATTAAAGACAATGCATGTGACATTACAGTAAAACCTTGGAGTGCGAGCATAATTCGTTCCGGAAACGTGTTTGTAATCCAAAGCACTCGTATATCAAAGCACTCGTATACCAGTTGTGATCACGTGACGCACGGCAGTACAAAGCGTGTACACGTACTACTACTCGTATTGCAAGACCCTCGCTCGTTTATCAAATTAATATTTATTTACAATTTTTGCTCGCCTTGCAAAACACTCGCAGACCAATCCAAGGTTTTACTTTGTACTATTATCCTCAGAGCGTGTTTGTTTGCATGTTCACCACAAGTCGTGCGTGTGGTTAATGCAGAGACTTGATTCCTTGCAAAAGCTACAATCTCTTTGGCGCGTTTGAACATCTTAACACAACGCCTGTGTTTTGTTGCCAGAAAGGGGCAAAACACCAACTTTGATTACACATTTATTTTAATACAAAGTAAAAGCTTGGATTGCGAGTAACTTGGTCTGCGAGTGTCTTGCAAGAAGAGCACATTTTTTAAAAATAAATATTAATTTGATAAACGAGCGAGGGTCTTGCAATACGAGTAGTAGTAGTACGTGTACACGCTTTGTACTGCCGAGCATCACGTGATCACACAACTGATGTATACGAGTGCTTTGGATTACAAACATGTTTCTGGAACGAATTATTCACCCAATCAAAGGTTTTAATGTACTAGCTTATATGCCCGGCGTTGCCCGGGCCAAAAAAATATTTCAAAAACTACTCTTAAAAATCTAACAGCAGTGCGTACTGACTGTGGTGGTACCTGCTATGATTACAGCAGTGCATACTGTGGTGGTACCTGCTATGATTACAGCAATGCATACTGTGGTGGTACCTGCTATGATTACAGCAGTGCATACTGACTGTGGTGGTACCTGCTATGATTACAGCAATGCATACTGTGGTGGTACCTGCTATTATTACAGCAGTGCATACCGACTGTGGTGGTACCTGCTATGATTACAGCAGTGCATACTGACTGTGGTGGTACCTGCTATGATTACAGCAGTGCATAGTGACTGTGGTGGTACCTGCTATGATTACAGCAATGCATACTGTGGTGGTACCTGCTATGATTACAGCAGTGCATACTGACTGTGGTGGTACCCGCTATCACTACAGTAGTACATGCTGACTCTATAGCAGTATTTATCGACTCTATAGCACAAAGTACTCACCTGACAGAGTGGCGTGGTGAGGCCTAGTCCCGTGCAGAGCCTCCGGCCTCGCCTAGATTGTCCAGCTGGCCGAGGTGGCACCTTGGCAGGCTGGGGCTGGGCTGCTACCCCTGACCCCCCCCCCCACTCAGCCACTATCTCCCCGGCTGCTCTGCAGTAATATCGACTGTATATATTAGTAACTGCACGCATCGGGGTGGGGGAGACATCACACAGTGAATAATTTATCTGATGGGCCGTCCCGCCCACCAAAGGCACGCCAGTTGGTATGGTCGTGCACGCGTCATAAATAAATAAATAAACTGAAAGGAAGCGCGCAAAAATCGCACTAAATCGCTAATTAAACTAATTAAAAGTTGACGGATGTGAAAAAGGAATAGCGCTTGCTCACGGTGGGGCTTTCGGCGTGGTAACTGGCTATTTTTACTTGACGAAACCCCACCGTCGGAGAGCCAACTCCTTCGCAAGCGCGCGAACACACAAACAAACACACAAACAAACACACAAACAAACACACAAACCCCGCCACAAACCCACGAACAATTTTTGACTTTTTTTTTCTATGTATATAGAAGAAAGATCTTTACAGAGAGCAACATTGCCCTGTAGCCTTAGATTTGGGGTTACGTAGTATCCTTGGCCCGTGGTGCATGAGTGCACCAGTGACCCCCTACTCTGTTTAATGGGTAATGATTCTGTGAATTAGTCTCTTGTCATTTGCTCTGTGTCCAATCTGGAGGTAATCTGCCCCAGTGGCAAGGGAATTTAATTGATTTTTTTACTTTGGTTTCATCGTCATCGTGTGATTGCAGTCGTGTTTGTTCTGAATTCGCCCTTGCACACGTGCTCACTCATCGCTCACTCATCCATTACTCACTCAACCCACAAATAACTCACCCACTCGCTCACCCACTCACTCACCCACCCACTCACTCACTCACCCACCCACCCACTCACTCACCCACTCACCCACCCACTCACTCACTCACCCACCCACTCACTCACTCACCCACGCACTCACTCACCCACTCACTCACTCACCCACCCACTCACTCACCCACTCACTCACACACCCACCCACTCACTCACCCTCCCACTCACACACCCACCCACTCACTCAAACATCACTTAACTCACTCACCCACTCACTCACCCACCCACTCACTCACACATCACTTAACTCACTCACCCATTCATAACTCACCCACTCACTCACCCACCCACTCACCCACTCACTCACCCACCCACTCACACATCACTTAACTCACTCAACCACTCACTACCCACTCACTCACTCACACATCACTTAACTCACTCACCCACTCACTCATCCACCCACTCACTCACACATCACTTAACTCACTCACCCACTCACTCACCCACCCACTCACTCACACATCACTTAACTCACTCACCCACTCACTCATCCACCCACTCACTCACACATCACTTAACTCACTCACCCACTCACTCATCCACCCACTCACTCACACATCACTTAACTCACTCACCCACTCATAACTCACCCACTCATAACTCACCCACTCATAACTCACCCACCCACTCACCCACCCGCTCACTCACCCACCCACCCACCCACTCACACATCACTTAACTCACTCACCCACCCACTCACACATCACTTAACTCACCCACTCATAACTCACTCACCCACCCACTCACTCTTCCACTCACCCATCGACTCACTCACCCACCCACCCACCGACTCACTCACCCACCCACCCACTCACTCACACATCACTTAACTCACCCACTCACTCACCCACGCATTTACTCACCCACCCACACACACTCACCCACTCATTCACTCACTCACCCTCTCACTCATCCACCGACCCACTCACTCAATCACTTACCCACCCACCCACCCGCTCACCCACCCACTCACCCACCCACTCACCCACTCAACCACCCACTCACCCACCCACTCACTCACCAACTCACTCACTCACCCACTCAATCACTCACTCACCCACCCACCCAGTCACTCATCCATCACTTCACTCATCCATCACTTTACACATTCCTCCGCCCATAAACCTTACACCCCATCCATCTGTGCTGGGCTGTAAATTCACTCCCACTCCCTCCCCACCACCCCAAAGACAAAGACCCCCCATGTAGCCTCAACAGACTGTTAGGGGAAGGGCTGTTAGCGAGCACCTATGAAGGCCGGCACTGTGGCACAAAAGGGGGGTGGAGGCCCGGGACTGGTTCAGATAATCATCACTACGGTTGGCCGTGAACGGGAATCGAACTCGGGTCACCGGGTTCATAGCGCAGCGTGCTAACCGCTGCACCACCGCTCAACCCACCATCATCAATCCACCAAAATTCATGGCACCACACACATCATCACCACACCCATCGCACCACACCCATCATCACCACACCCATCATCACCACACCCATCATCACCACACGCATCACCACACCCATCATCACCACACGCATCACCACACCCATCATCACCACACCCATCATCACCACACCCATCATCACCACACCTATCATCACCACACCCATCATCACCACACCTATCACACACCACACCTATCACACACCACACCCATCATCACCACACCCATCACACACCACACCCATCACACACCACACCCATCATTACCACACCCATCACCACACCCATCACACCACACCCATCATCACCACACCCATCACCACACCCATCACACCACACCCATCATCACCACACCCATCATCACCACACCCATCATCACAACACCCATCACACACCACACCCATCATCACCACACCCATCATCACCACACCCATCATCACCACACCCATCACACCACACCCATCACACACCACACCCATCATCACCACACCCATCATCACCACACCCATCACACCACACCCATCATCACCACACCCATCATCACCACATACATCACACACCACACCCATCATCGCCACACCCATCATCGCCACACCCATCCTCGCC